ATGCTGGTACACCTATTTGTATCTAAATTGGACGGATATCCTAAGACAGTAGCTAAAGCATTACCAAAAAGCATGCGAGAGAACACTTTTGAAGAAAGAATGCCTTTAAAGAAATTGGAGAAGCACTGCGCAATAAATTCAGCATGAATGAGTCCGCCATATGACTGCGTATGTACAACTCAAACATCTGCGGATGATAAAGGACGTTACAGAATTCTGTCTCGAGCTAGAGCGACTTACACACTTAGCGTACCCAAAAGCCACAGACAAGCAACTCTCATGTACAAGAGCCGCAGAATTGGTTTTGCAGTTGACAAATTGGCCTGAATACTTCCACCTGTTCACCAACATGGAGACAGCGCCGAAAGAATGAGTGCTTATGAGCTGGTGAAAGCTATGGCGCTACGTAGCGAACGTAGCAGGGAGATGGCTATGGCAATGATACAAAGCACAGAACAAGCCGTGTAAGACACATATGTCAAAGGAATGCCCTTCAACTAGAGACAAACACCAACTGTGGAAGGAAAATGTGCTGTGGAAGATAAATAGTTTAGCAGCATCTTGCAAGAGGTGACACACTGCTATAACTGTAACAAACCAGGACATATAATCGCGAGTGTGGCAAAGGGAAAACCTCTAAATCAGCAAAGAAACCGTACAATGGCCAAATAACTTTACGGCACTCAGTAGGGGTACTATCGAGGAAGAATGAGCTGTATGGAAATGAAATGGTGCTAAATGTGCGTTTGCTGGGCCTACCTCGAGAAACTGTGCTGGACATGGGATCACAAGTCACTATCATTTCCTTGAAGACGCTCGTAGCGAGCAAAGACAAGGGATACGATTTGGATGCTGATGTTGAAGAAATCCCGATTGACCATGGCTCCTATTTATGATATCTCGAACAAGCGGATGGAGTTCAAGGGAGCAGTTAGGCTTATCTTGCAACTCGAAAATGGCGCTACAGGTTTGTCCTTTAAGAGCAGGTGGCAGAATTGTGCTCGGAATGAACTACCAAAATTTGGATTGTCTAATATGAACACTAGAAACACCCTCGCTACACAAACAAGGCACTTGTTCAGAAATCCGTTCCGTAACTGCACAAGACGAGACGAAGATTGGATGGTGTGATGACCTCAAAAGGAGCGCAAGTTCAAGCAAAGACTAATATGTTGTCTTTTGTGAAAAAGGCTTATCGGAAGGGATGGCTCAGCACCGCGGTGTAGCTTTCATCATGGAAGCCCTTCCCAACATTTGTATCGAGGACAGCTTGGCAGGAGGCACGCTGATGAGAGCGAGGGAAGGCGGAGCAGGTATGTACTGCAAAGCAACAACCTTTCAGTCATCAGACATCACGCATGCAAGGTCCGCCGTAAGTCGAGTGTTAGACATTCTCGA